TTTTAATATTTACTTATTCGAGCTGATCCGGAATTTTTATAAAATTCTTTTTGATTATATATCTTTTTTTTTTTTTTACTTTTTTAATGTAATAAATTTTCTAAACTAATGCGTTGCTATCAAAAAGTAAAAATTGCTGGCTGAAAAAAAAGGAAGAAAGTGAAAGGAGTTTTGTAATCGTAATAAAGCTAAAGCTAAACTTTATGAATACATGACTTTAATTTGAAAAAAATAATATAGAAGTATAATAAGAATCTGGGAATAAATCAGTTATTATTTTCGAAGTGGTCATAACCAAAATCAAGATGATCGGAGAATGCCGAATGGCGAAGCTTTCAGTGACGTAACCACAGTGACGTAACCACTACGTTGTTATCATCCGATCATCTTCTGATCTGGGTTTGATTCTTGGTTATGACCACTTCGTGGCAATAACATATACTTCCCTTATTTTGATATTACCAACGAAACTTTATTATTTATTGTTTGTTACTAAACTCAGCCCATGAAAAGATCTAATCGGAGATATATATACTATATATGGTACTATATATGCTGCCAATTTAATTATGTGTAATATATAGCACCAATCAGAGGTTTAATAATAGACTTGAAAAATCAGCGGCTTTTCTTTTGCAACATCAATTTTTTTTTAAAAAAATAATTTTTTTTTAAATTTCAAATTCTATTTAACATTAATGTTAAATTTAAAATTTTAAACCGATTATTAAGTTAGGGGGAAACTGAATTTATTTTTATCGTCAATGTGGATATAAAAAAGGTGAAACACGCCTTTTAAGGTTACGTACCCTTTTTTGATGCAGATCTATATCTAATTAGGGTTAAATATCATTTAGGTAGTGATAGACGTCAATAACGTAACAACCTCTAACACAGGTTTCACCCTGTCGTACGTACGTACTGTACGTACGTACAGTACGTCCGTATGATCATTGTATTCTAATTTTTATAAATCGAATTTTCTGCATTTCGTGATTACCTCCGCAGCTAATAAAATAGGGGATAGCTGTAATATATGGGGTACGATTTGTACAAAGCATAAGTACTAAGCTTTTTTAATCGTTCATCACGTGGTCATACAGCACTATCTTTTCCTAAGCTTAACAATTGACTAAGTTTTTTCGAAATTAAAAGATACTTCAATAATTCCGCTCAATACTTTGTAACAAAGATATCTTAGGAATGATGTTTGCAATATTCAGGAGCAATTTTAAATTCAAAGGATTTCCTGAATTCGAAAACTTGAAACGCACTGTACCATAAAAGGTCATATACAGGATCCGGGTCTGTTGATTCTACTAATTTTACT